GCGACTCTGTTAAAGCTATTTTATGTTCACCATTTAGATCTTGATGTGATAGTTCTATTCTAGCATTAGTACCAGATTGAATTACTTTTTTAATTTTTTCTTTCTGACTTTCTGAAAGATTTATAAGAGTATCGTAGTATTTTGTCATTTTTATATATATAAATATTATATATATAAATATTATATATAAAATAATTTTATTTAAATTATTTTTAAATCATCCCCAGAACTATTTTTTAATAGATTGCTTTCTGCAATGATTTATACTCATCATTATCTATATAACCTTGTCTTAACAGCTCATCACAAATAGCAACAGCTTCATTTCTAACTCCAGTATTACCAGCTTGTAAAGCAGCTAAGCGTAATTTAAGCATATCAAATAGTGCATTCAGATCACTAGGAAGAATGATAACTCCTTTTCCAGACTTTCTTTCCAAATAGGTTTTATTACATTAGCGTATTTATAACTTCTAGATGATCTTGGTTTAGCTGAATTTAAATCAGAGCGAATTGCATCTGTTTGATCTAAAATTTCTTTATACTTATTACGATCATCGTTAGTATATTTAACAGGATGAGATTTAACAATGATCTCCCAAAGACCAGGTGTTCCAATGTATTTTTTATCTTCAATAGTTATATCATTACCTTCAATAGTTATTGGTTTTTTACCAATGTAAAATTTTTTATCATCTTCATTGTAATGTATACCGAATATGTCATCTGATACTTTTTTACTATTTTTAGCAGTATATAACTTTAGATATTCTGTTGCGATAGCTCCTGATGTCATGTTATTTACAACTTCAGGTGGCATAATTGCTTTAGTTTCAGAATCTAACAAAGCAGGATAGCTTAAAAAATTACTAGCTAATTGATCAGCTTTATTTTCTAATTTAGATAATCCTTCTTTTATTCCAGATTGGCTATCTATTAATGGTTTGTACAATTTTTCCAAGTTAGTCTGTAAAGTATTATAACCTAACTTTTCATTAATAGAATCTTGATATACACTTTTCTTTAATCTATCAAGTTCTTTTGCTATTTTTAATCTTGCTTCAATATCTGTAGCTTTTACATATGACATTTTTTATAAGCAATTTTTTTTAATTCATTTAATGAATCTGGATCCTAAAGGGATCAAATCAACATATATTATGTTCAAGTAAATACATAATATATGTTTTTTATTTAATTCTTAAGAGTATTATTTATCATTCCTATACTTTGATTCTTGTTAAATCTCATATTTAGCACTTCTATAATATCATTTGTACCTTTTTCTATTCTTTTTTTAAATATTCACTCTTAAGTCTGCTCATTTATATCATTTTTAGATTTTGTTCTAATTTGTTCAGCCATAGCTTGAAACTTTTCAAGTTCTGAAAGTATCATATTAAATTCTGCATCATCAATGTATTGATCTGATATGGCTTTAGAAATAAGACTACTTATTGTATTTAGTTTTGCATCAGCTAGTACTTTAATCTTTTCATGCTTTTCTGCTTTTAAGTTTAATTTTTTATTAGCTTGTGATCCTATTAAATTTACTGCTCCTATAATTAATGCAGCAATCTCACATCCAATAGCTACTGGAGCTAATACACCAGTTGCTAAACAACCAACTCCAGCAGCTCCTAATGCCATAGTGCTTGCTAGTAATGAATTATCAACTACTGAAATGATTCTTGATGCTCTATGATATTTCTTACTTAAGATCTCTCTTCTTTTCCTTTCACATTTTATTTTATCTTGAATTTCGCTAATCTTTTGTAATCTAAAGTTATGATCTGTTAATAGCGGTGGTGCAGATGGATTTTCTGAAAACTGGTTAAGATCTAGATAAAGTTGTTTACACTCTTCATTTTTACATTGCATTCTTTTTCGATAAAGAAAAATTTGTTTAATTCATTTTTAATAAATATTTTTTTTATTTACCAAAATCAAATATAGTAGAGTCTTTAGCTTTGTTAGATTTATCTAAACTAGGATTATCTTCATCACATATAGTTTTTTTAATTAATTCTCCTATACTTGTTAATATAGATTTTACAGATTCTTTATCACTTTGAGATCTAACTTGTTCTACTTTTTTATTATGTTGTTATTGTATATTTTTCATGCTTTTCATAATCTAAAAACATTCTTCTTTTATTCATTTTTTTATAAATGTAATGATTTTTTTATATCATTTTAAAAAATAATAAATACTATACTTTTAAGTATAATATTTTCATTTTAAAGTTCTTACAATATAATTTACAATCTGTTCATTCTCATGTAAATAATAACACTTTTTATTATCATTAATATTTTTATATAAAGTTATTTTTTTACCTTTTTTATTTTTCATTAATTTCTTTTCTGTTAATTTACATAGTTTAAATGGACAATTCTCTACGTTTTCTTTAATTTCTTTTTTAGAATGAGCATATTTACATTTATTTTGTAAAGGGCATTCTTTTTTATCAAGTATATATTTACATAATTTAGTTTTTCTTAATTTTTTCTTTTCTTAATTTTAATAATTCCGACTTTTTAGGATGAAATAATCTACAATCTTTATTCTTACATTAAGGATATTCAGAACAAATATTAATATGTTTATATTGACATGAAGCTTTAGTGCATATTAGCCTTTCCTTTACAGTATAGCATAAAGGAATATTATGATTGTATTTACATTTCTCTCCAAAAGGACAAAAATTTATTTATTTTTACAAAAAATAGGTAATTTTTCTACAAAATGAATTGTAGAAGGTTTTCCATCTTCAGTAAAATTAATTTCAACATTAAATGGTTTTTCAAAACTAAATTTTCTGTTTTTGTTATGTTTTTTAAAAGAAGTTTTATCTATAGCAGGATAATCATTATTAATAATATCGCTGTAAGTTGGAACATAATTAATCCATTTCAGTTTATCTTTATACAATTCCATAATTTGTAATGTTTTTGAAGGAATTGGAACTATACATTTTTCTTGAATTTCTTCCTCATCATCAGATACAAAATAGGTATCATCTTCAGAGTCAGAATCTAATTCTTCAAATTCAAAGTTTTTTATTTCTTCAAAAAGTTTTTTTCGATTTTGATTTTCTTCAAATATTTTCATCATCTTATTCATTATATTTTTTAAAATTTTTTTAATAAAATATTAAAATTCAAAAAAATTTAAAATGAGTTAAATAATTTTCTTGTGTATATAAAAAAGAATAGTAAACAAAATGCAAAATGATTCATATAAAAAATTAAGTTCTGAAGGAAACCCAGGCTTCGCTAGAAGAATTATTAAGATTAATAGAAGAAAGATTAAGATTAATAGAAGAAAAATTAGATGTTATTGATACTAAAGTCACCTTAAAAGAAAAAAAATTACTATGGGAAACTTTTCCATTTAACTTTGCAGGACCTGGTACTAAATTTAATTTAGGATTAAATCCTGAAGATACTGAAACTACTCATGATACTGTAGTTGCTGAAGATGAAGAGGGTAAAGATGAAATTATAGAAATTACAAAAACTACAGAAACTACTGAATATGGTGATGATGAAGATCATGATGAAGAAACTATAGAAATTACAGAAACTAAAAAAACTACAGAAATTACAGAAACTACTGAATATAGTGATGATGAAGATGATGAAGTTGTTGTATTTGATTATGAGAGTGCACAAAATTAACTATCTTTTATTATTTTATTTTTTTGTAAAAAATAAAATAACTTTTTGAAAATGAGTTAAATAATTTTCTTTTATATACAAAAATGGAAAAAAAATTAATACCAGGAAAAATACCAAAAGAAATTCCAAACAAAATGCTAGACGACATAAAAAACAAAATTAATAGATTACATAAAAAATATAAATATTTTAATGAAAAAATAAAAGAGGAACATGAACATCTAAAAAAATATGAACATCGCCTTTTTATGTTTAATATAGAAATGGATAGCAATCTTCTAGCACATTTTTATTCAACAAAGGATGCAATAGTAAATAGTGAATGTACAGAAATTAAAGCTGAAAAACAGAATATTTTAAATCTAATATTAATCATTATGATGAAAAAATGGATATTACTGAAAAAAAACTTTTTTGATGTTTTAATATGTATTATGATATTAAATTAAAAAATGATGACATCACAACAGGAAGAAATTTTAATATTTTAGACTTATAAAAAATAGCGCATATAAAAAATGCGTACTAAAAAAAATCATGTGACCTGTGACGCCACACAATTAAAACAAAATTTAATTTTTAAATCTAAAAAATTGATTTTAAAATTTATTTCTTAGTTATAATATTTATACACATTATGGATAACATTGAACCCTATATTTAATTAAATATAAGGTTGAAAATATGGTTGAAAATGAAAATGAGCCAGAACCGGCATATCTGTAGTAGTCGTAACGACTTTCATTTTTTTAAAAGTTATGTCCAGTTAATAACCGAAGGCAAATTACGTCACGTAGTTATGTAAAAAAGCAACTTCTTTTTAATTATTTTTATTTTCATGAAGAAAAAATGAGGTAGCTAATTTAAACTAAGAATTATTTATATACTACTGCATTTAACACTAAACTTTTTTTACTTTTTTTCATAAAAAATCAAAAGAAAATTAAAAATAATTTTTGGGCGCTTTTTTTTGGGCGCCAATACCGGTAAAACGGTACTAAAACACATCTGGGTTCTTCACTGACTATATCAATTTATTTATAACTTTAGTTATAAATTATAGCTAAATTATTTTTTAAAACAAGCACTCTGCCACTAATACCACTAATAGCGTTCTACCACTAATACCATTTAATAATCTTCATAAAACAAATATTAACCACTTGTATAATTTGTATTCATAACTACAAATTACAACACCTAGACACATTAAACACACATATCGAACTAATCTCAGACAATTTTTTTTGGTATTCTGGAACAAACATGTAAATCTGTTAAAACTTGTTATTTTAAAATAAAAAATAGTAAAATACCTGCTTGAATAAGAAACAAGACTTGATTTGCTACTCCAAGCAATTTTCCTCCATTGTGGACATATATCTTTCTCAACTAAAATAAAAAAATATTTTTGTATATTGTAATATTTGAAAAAATAAGTATGCATATTGCAACACGAGCTCTTAATAGTGCTTAATGAGTGCTTCTAATAGTTTTATGTATTGTTTTATGTAACTAGTTCCATTTGAATATAATTATTTTAACAGAAAAAAAATGTATTTGTATTTTCACATAATTGCAATAGCATGAAACTTAAAGTTGTGAAAAACGTGTTGTTTTATTATGCCTATAGAATCAGTTTACAGCAAATTTACAGCAAAAAGTATACTTATGCAAACAGATTGTTGGGGGCATTTTGTGTCCATAAATTTTTTGTCACTCTAAGTATACTTTTTTTGTAAAAAAACGGTCCTCATAAGCAACTTTCAGAAAAAGTGAAAAGTACATACATCAACTATCTTGCTACCAATAGGAGTGTAACTATATTGACTGAGAGTTTGGTTAAGGTCAGGATAAAGGTCAGAGTTAGGGTGTGGACTAGGTTTAAATATGGTTTTATTACTGTAATTAATCGTTTTGTAAATAGATGGAAAAAAAAAAAGAAACATATAATAATTAAATAAAAATAACAAAAATAATTACAAAAAATATGATTTTATAACAAAATAATAAATTTAAATGTTCAAATAAAAATAGACATAAAATGAAAATATAAAAAAAAAAAAGAGATTTTCAAATAAATTTCATTCTAGTTAATAAGTTATTAGAAATATCAAAGAAGCTTATTGAATTTAATCAATTTTTATTTTTTCAAAACAACTTTTCACAATTTTGCAAAGTGCACGCAAATTAATGATAATTAATATGCAAAGACTCGCGCAAGTTTCATGACCTAATAATTGTAAACTGTTATCCATTGATACTAAACTGTTATCCATTGATACTAAACTGTTATCCATTAATACTAAACTGTTATCCATTGATACTAAACTGTTATCCATTGATACTAAACTGTTATCCATTGATACTAAACTGTTATCCATTGATACTAAACTGTTATCCATTGATACTAAACTGTTATCCATTGATACTAAACTGTTATCCATTGATACTAATTGTAAACTGTTATCCATTGATACTAAACTGTTATCCATTGATACTAAATGTAAACTGTTATCCATTGATACTAAATGTAAACTGTTATCCATTGATACTAAATGTAAACTGTTATCCATTGATACTAAATGGGCAGAAATGAAAAGTCTTTTTTTTCCAAAAGGAATGACTTTTATAAACTAAATTGAAAATTAAAAAAAAATAAAACGTTTAGAAGAGGGCAATAATACCTAACATGCTTTCTGTTAAGACCTATTTAGTTTGAGGTAATGATATTGCATGAGGAATATTATATTTTTTGTTATAGCAATTAAAACTTGTGTAACGGAAGAAACCTATCATTCCTTCCTTGACACAAAGAAAATATTATTCCTTTTGTGACACAAGGAACCTATCATTTTTTCCATGACACAAGTTTTTAATGCCTACAACTAAAGATTTAGAATTCTACTAACAATGTCTTCTCTCCAAATTAAATAGATATTTATAGGTAGAATGTTTGGTACTTTTTCCCCATTCTAAACGCTTTTTTTTTTTTTTTTTTTTTTGAATTTCCAATTTAGTTTACAAAGGCCATTATAAAGACATATTATATATCATTGGAAAGATAATTTCAACAGCTTTTTAATAGTGCATCTTGTCACTTTTTTCGAATTGAGCAAAAAAAATAGCAGATGAAAATGTGAATAGTGGATTTTTGCTAACCTAAGCAATTTTTTTTTTTTTTAATATCTTGAGGACCTGTTTCTATAACGGGTTATAACTAAAAAACGGTAATAACTTTGAAAGGGCATAACTCCCTTGATTCATGAGATAAAAACTTAACTTAAAAAAGAAAATAATAGTATTTTATGTGGGTAATTTATTTGCATATTATTTTTTTTCAATCAAGCAATTGCGTTTTACATAATCTAAACAGTGCCGAGTTGACTCAGAAAGGCACTGTACAAGAGATTTTTCCATTTTAGAAAGACAATACTTTATTCAGTTGTGTAATTTCTCAATTTTCTTTCCAATTATTCTCATAAACTTTTCTTTTGAGAAAACTCCAAAAATCCTCAACCGGACTCTTTGGTGCCCCAGAAATATTTTCAGCGCGTCAAATAATGGTATAGATGGTCTTAATAGAAATTTTTTTAACAAGAAAGTGATCAACTGTAAACTTTCCCCTTTAGATTGATTTTTCAAATAAAAGCTGTACAAACTGTCTCAATTCTTGTTTTTCTTTCGTTTTTCTTTGTAACAATAAATTATTTTGATTTAAAATAAAACAAGTTTTGTATAGAATTGAAAACACTACAAACTAGGTAAGATTGAAACCTTAATTAATATAAAGTATGTTACATAACTTTGTCTTCAAAGTCATTACAGTTTTTTAGTTATAACCCATTAACTGTCATAATTGGTGCATGCATTTGATTTTGTATTACCTATCCCTAATTCAATGGATCTAAATCAATGTCACTCAAATTTCTCCATACTTTAATTCCATGATAATATGCAGCTCTTTTTGAGCTGCTTCATTCACCTTGTTTCAATCTACAGCAGGTCAGGAAACATAAATATAATGAAATGGTGACATCTGATCGTGCAAGTATTGATCCTGTTTTATTATGACCATCACCAAAAGCTGCATATTATCATGGACTCAGAGTTTATCACTAAATTAAAGTATGGAGAAATTTGAGTGACATTGATTTAGATCCATTGAATTAGGGATAGGTAATACAACGAATAGCTCTTTTGCCAATATCATGAGTAGAAATATTTTTCTTATAGAATAAATCTTCTGTAGATTTGAATTCATTTGAATTTTTCAACTTCGTAAACATTGTGGTTTTGCCGAAGTTATGGATTGCTGATGTTGTGTCACACCCAGTGAATGTGTGTGCAAATAATACATAATTTAAAAGAGTATCATCACTTGTCTTTACAACATTCTGAATTTTATAACATACTCTTTGATCTGTAGCCTTATTTTGTGTCAACGTTTTTAAAAAGATGCCTTGAAGTTGTGCTCCAGCATGTACATGATGTATCAATAGACATAAAATATCAGTGCCACGCGAATAAATTGTGACTGACTCAATGTTGTCAATCTCAAGCGCTAGCTTAACAATACTTGTGTCTGTATCACTGGGACAACAAATAACTTTAAAACCATTGTTTTGTAGCTTCAATGCTAAAAGCCTGACAAAATCATTTTTGTTTTTGTAGTTACTTAGGAAAATACTTCTTTCTGCTTGGTATGGGTTGAGATCATTAATTTCAACTGTTTGTGATATCTTATTAGATCGCTTTTGGTGGATACTACCTTTAGTGGCTGACTGATAACCATCAAAAATTGTGTCAGTTGTAGGTGTTGAGAAAAATCAATTTCTGAAAAATGTTACTAATTTTTTTTTCCAATTGCAGCACTACAATAATGCACCCCCACCATCAATCTTGATTGATACAGGTTCTTTTACTGGTGATACATTATTGAGTATGAATGTTTTCAATGTTGACTTTTGTGCTGATCTCATGGCACCTCCTTTAAATAAAGATGTTGGATACGGTGATAACTCATATTGAAAGTAACTCTCCAATACATTCTCTGGCTTCCTTTCAACAACAACAACCACTCTTAGAAATAGTGTTAATGGGTTAATTGTACCAATTTCGTCTTGAGAATTGATGCTCCTATCTCTTCTGATCGATCACAGGTAATTTGTTTCTGATTATCAACCAAACCTGTGTCCAAACTAACAAGTTGATCTCCAACCATGAATGGGTTATGAGTGAATTTTTTTAAAGTTGCCACTATCATCTTTCATTCTTCTAGGATACATTTCTTTATATTTGTCAGCAGATTTATACGGAGATGTTAGAGTGCTCATCACATCACTTACTTCTGCGCACCAATGCAATGTTTCTGTCCACACCCTCAACACACTTTCAGTCAAGCCTTTACCAATAACTCCACCTCTACCTTTCAATGACTTCATCAGAGTCTGTTCAATTGCTAGATCAGTCCATATCCCTGATCATTTTTTTTTGGTTCTTCTAACAGTGTGATTACCTGCCATGTATTGTGCCTAAATTAGAGGGTGTTCTGTTTGTAAAACATCAACGGTCTGAAGGTAAAAGCCTGCATGACTTTGCATAGTTATTGTCCCCTGTTACAGCAAAAAGATTGAGCATGCACTTTGTTGCAGAAATATGTAACGACCAGTTACTTGTTCTCTCTGTTTTAATAAACTCTTGGACCACAGCTACATATTGTACATAATATAACCATAAAGATAATGTTTGTGAATTTAATGAAAAATAATCTTTTTTTTTCTGTAAACCAGTTTAGCAACCTAACTGCCAGATCATTACTTTCTAGAACACAAGGGTCTTCTGAATCATACATTTCTAAAAAAAGTTTCTGCTCACTATCATTCAACTCATCCCAAAAATTCTTTAACATCAGTGAATTTATTGCTGATGCACATAAAAAATGTCCTAGCATAGCGCATGAAAAGGCTTTTCCTGATTGCATGTGTCCTACAGTTAAAGGGGCATAGTTTGTTTCAAAAGCTCTTCACAAACCACTTCCTTCCATCATACATCCAATTGAACCTAGAAAACTCATAAGGTGATGGAAACCTCCAAGACAAACAAATATATCTAAGTTTTTTGTAGAGACTAAATCGTATGCTTTTATGTAAAGCTGCTGATTGAATGTTCTGGATGGCATTGTAACATTCACTTTTTTGGAGTAATCAATGATGAAGCAAAGTAGTGAATATAGGGCTGTCAAATCAGTGGCGTTTAAATCAATCACAGGTAGTATAGCAATAATAGGTTTCTGTTTTACAATATTATTTGTTAC